AAACTTATAACTTTACCGGTACTCGATATCAATCTTTGCCTTAACTAAAGTTTACTACTGGAATTTTCCTGCATCCGACATCTTAGTTTAACTTTTGTCTGATTATTCTTACCATGAAATGATTCTAAATGAATTCGCTTTTTTTTATAGGATAACGGTAGGTTCATTCAGGCCTTATGGAATAAAGTGATGCCATCATCACCGTCACCTAGGGATGTATTAGGAAAGAGACGAAGTATTGATATCATTGCTATCATTCTTCAAATATTTTTGACTAACCATCAAGCATGGAAGAGCTTATCACCAGATGGAAATCCTATTTTCGAATCTTAGCTGATATGTATCTTCAAAACCATAAAATCAAATACCCTGATTACAAATTTTCTCCAAAAAAAAGGGATCATCAAATTTAAAAAAGAAGCGCAAAAAAAGAAAAAAAACCATCCAAAGTGAGATCAGATCCTAACCCGATGCTTACAAGGTTGCATAAGCAGAAACGTACAGAATGGGCCAAAACCATATGAATGATGACTGGAATCGCACTCTTTTTTCAGACGAAACATCCTTTTGGTTATTTAGTATCAATGTGGAATATTGGTATAAGGGTCAGCGGCCGGTTCGTCGCATCCCAAAGGACCGGACAAGAGTCAACGCATGGGGTGAATTTTGTAATCGGGGAAAAACCAAATGTCATTCACAATATATATATTTCAAAAAGAAATAAATTAATTAATTAATAAAGAAATATGCATCTTGGCTAAACAGCTGATCAAATAAATATTAAATAAGATGAGTTTCTCGTATTACCAACCCTCAAAGAAAATATTCACATGATCGATACACAAAATGCCAATCTCACTTAGGATAGATAAACCATCGTGAGCAAAATTCATTTATTAAATTTGGCAATGATGATTTATTAAAGGTTTCGCTTCAAGAAAAAAAAAAAGATTTATGTTTCTTTATTATAACAAATTATAAAATAAAAAACTTTCAAGTTATAATTCAACATTATCTTTTTTTTTCGGCTCCTTCTACCATTCCTTTGAGGCACTGTATGTATTTTATGAATATAAAATATTTAAAATGCTATTCTTTTTTTTTTTTTTTTTTAAATGTCGATTATTGCTATAACTCTACCAGCGGGCGTACAATGACGATTTAGTCGGAGGTATGGCACAAGAGGTCCTGCATCTCGGATTAGTTAAAGTCGATATTGCTTGCATCGAACTTGACTTGTCAAAAAAAACAATTATTAAAAAAAATAAAGCAACGCGGTGCAAAAAAAAAGCAGGAGGCGTAAGATAATTTGAATGGAAAAAGTTTAACCATCTTTATTTGCTTCACAAGGTTCTCATTGAATACAATTAAATGTAAAAATAATAATAACAATCAATAATAAGAATAAGAATAAACGATAATAAACTAATATAAATTTAAATTTATAAATTTCCACGATTGTCTTGATCACGTTCAATAGCTTCAAATAACGCCTAAAGAATTTACAAATTTTATTAAAAATCCACGAGAAAAAAAAATAAAAGGGCCGCTGAATGAATTAGTCACCTTAAAGTTACCAGCGCCAAAACCTTGATGATTACGACGTTGAATTATTTCAATGAACAAGGTAGGACGATCTTGGAGCGGTTTAGTGAATATCTATTTTTTTTTTTTACAAAAAATAAAGTAATTTGTCAACTGAATTCTCCTCGTACGAAGTTAAAAAGGATAAATACCAATTTATTTGTTGTTTATTACCTGTAATAAATAACCTTCTTCGTCGTAATCAACTAAAATATTTAATTTTTGTAAAGTTGCAATGTCCTCTAGAATCTTTGTACAAGAAATTTGACGAAGATTATCATAATACGTAGCGGGAATGGTTAAGAATTCCAATCCACGAGCACGAAGATTTGTTACACTTGTAATGATACTATAATCATAATAATTGAATTAATGACAATATTAATGCGATGCAAACTGCAACATGTAAAAAGAAAATTACTTACTCTTCAGTTCTCAACGCGATATGTTGAACCCCTGCACTTCCTGATACATTTAATTGCTCAGTTAATAAAAATTACGATAAGGTTTCTCCTTAGTAAAGTCACGTGATGTATACTTACCATAATAATCAATAAATTCTTGAATTTGAGATTTCCTTCTCCCAATTGCTGGTTCATTTACCGGCATTTTAATTTTCTCATGGTAGTCAGCCATGACGACGGAACGTAAAGAAGAATACTCTGTATGGATTTGTTTATCGTCAACTGACCAAAATCGGTGAAAATTGAAAACCTTTTCATACCTAAAAAGAAAAAGGAAAACCGGAAAATATTATTAGAGAATACGAAACAAGATAATTTATATTTTTATAACGCATACATTTCACAAATTTTATCCATTTCAAGATCAGGTTGATTACCAACAACGTGATCTAGATAACCTAAATTTGCAGGTGGTAAATTGTCTTCTAAAGGATCCTTGAAATTTAGGCGATGAAAATTTGGTAAGAAGTCACCATGGTAATTCTTTCTTTCAACAAAAGTATGTACGGTATCACCATAAGTTCCAACAGTAGCCATTATAACTACACCATTTTCATCACGTTCTTCCCACGGTTCTTTAATTGATTTACCACCACGTTGCACGCAACTTTTCCAAAGGCTTCTAGCATCATCTACTGTAAATGCCACATCCTTTACACCGTCTCCGTGAAGACTTTGATGTTCGCTCATTATTTTATTATTCGGATTTAGTGCGGATTGAAATACAAAGGTTATTTTTCCTTGTGTAACGGCATGAGAAACAACATTTCTTACTCCTGTTTCCAATCCTTGATATCCGATATGCTTAAAACCAAGCCTAGTACAATAAAATGATGCAGCTATATAAAATAAAAAAGTTATCCCGATTTAAGTTATTTATAACGAAAATGAAATCCTCTAATCGAAATTCGACATATCAAATACATCGAATTACCTTGCTTGGCATTGCCGACCCAGAATTTTACATGATCTATAAACGACAAATTTTATAATTTTTCAATTATGACCTTAGAGTTTATTTTGTGTATAATTTTTTTTTGCAAACTATTTTATTTGCAGAAAAGATGCCCGTTAACGTACCAAATCCTTCATAATTTGCAAGATCGAGTTTAGGTCCTTTGTTGTCATAGGAAGTCATCTTTTAGAATATTTAAAGATCCTTTTGTTGAGAAAAAAAAAATACTTTTGTTAAAAGTGAAAAAAAACCAACCTTTTTTACAAGGTAATTATATATGTAATTTCCCTCTTATTGTGATATGTATAAATACGCTTAAACCATGTCGTCATACATGTACCCTGAAGCTCCTTTCTCACGCTCATTTAATTAGCTAAACAAATATGCACTTAATAATATCATTTAATTTTGATTGTCTTGTCAAATGATTGTTGATCAAAATTTTCAATAATTCAATTGAAGTCGTGTGATTTTTATCTTCATTAGAATTAATTAAATTTATAAATGTAAATCGATTAAAAATTTCATACGTAAAAAAAAAAT